AACCCTCAATACAAAATTTCAGCCAATTCGGTTGATAACTTACTTAGCTGGCTTATGACAGAACGATTGTTCCATAAGCCGAGTTTAAAAAAGATTTCCAGGCGCGTCGATCTTGTGCGCATCTCATCCAATTGGAAAGACCCTTTTCCGAGATGTTGTCTTCTACTTGATCTTTCCATCAGATTCGTGACCTTCCGCTTTTGCGTGAACCATCACTTGGCTCGCTGCAGCTCCATCCGTCTGACTATGTCGATGTCGAAGAATATATGGCATTGATCATGGTTCATTCGACGGCGATATTCACCATCGACGCAGATCGGCCCATATATCTTCCGGAGAATTTTTCTCTCCAACACTCCAAGAACTGCCTAATCTGCTTGCGCAAGCACCCATGCTTCACATCCATACAACAGCACGGGTAATACCAGCGTCTGGCGAGAGGTGGCCTTGCTTCTAAACTGCTTATTTAGACCATATTAGCATCTGTTGGGCATCACAATACTTCTCCGAATTTCAAAAGTGATGTCATTAGTTTTATTTATGGCGGTGCCAAGTTCCACAGTTGGTCCGAGGCTACTGGACGTCTTGCACGTTGATACCATCAGCTTGGTCTTCTCGCCATTTACTGCCAGACCCACTTTGGCAGACTCCTTCTCAATTTGTTCAAAGGTGATTGTTACCGCTCTCAATGTTCGACCCTTTATATCGATGTCATCGGCGTAGGCGAGTAACATATGTTGTTTGGTGTGCAGAGTGCCATTTTTGTTGACCTTTGCCTCTCGTATGACCTTTTCCAGGAGGATCGTAAAAAGGTAACACGACAAACTATCACGTTGTCTAAATACTGGTTCGGTATTGAAGGGCTCCAAGTGGTCCTTTCCCACGTTAACTGCTGACCTTGTTCATCTGAAAGTTATCCTCCTTAGCCGTATTAATTTTACAGGAATGCCGAACGTAGACATAGCTTTAAACATCTCTGAACGGATAGGGCTGTCGAATGCGGCTTTATAGTCGTCGGGTGGGTGGAATGTGTCGATGTGTTTTTCGTTTTTCCTTTCCAGGATTTGGCGCAGAGTGAAAATCTGAAGCCGCATTGGTATGGTCCAATAATGTCATTGACCATTGGCTTCAATCGTTCACACAGCACACTGGATAGCACTTTATATGCGATAAGGCTAATTCGTCTATAGTTGGCACATATCGTCTTGTCTCCTATTTTGTGCACGGGAAACATGCTGAGGTTCCAATCATTGGGCATGCATTCCTCCAGCCAAATTGTACTAATCAGCTGATGCATACTCCTGACCACCAGCCTTGAATAGTTCGGCTGGTAACCTATCGGCACCTGCTGCTTCATTATTCTTCAGCCGATTGATTGGTACTCTGACCACATCATGGCGAGGTGGTGGTATATACTCTATACCGTCATATCTTATTGGTTCTGGGATATCTTCTTCACCGCCACTTTTTGATACCAGAAACTTTTCAAAATGTTCCTTCCAGATCCTCAGCACACTGTCTGTATCCGTCACCAGGTTTCCTCCTTCATCTCTACAGGAGGATGTGCCTGCACCTTCGGTTTGGTGTTTTACCCGTTGGTAAAATTTCCGGACTTCGTTCTGACACCTGTAAATTTCGATTTTCTCCCGCTCATGTTTTTCTAGTTCTTTCATCGTTTTTCTGAAAATACGTTTCTCCTCTCTCCTTTTCTCCCGATAATTCACCATCACATTACGGGTTGCTACTGTCTGCAGAGTTACCCTATACGCTGTGTGTTTCACATCACTAGCATTGCGACACTCCTGATCGTACCATGGGTTTCTTGATGGTGGTTGTTGGTACCCAAGTGTTGCTTTTGCTGCAGGTTGTTGGGAGTGGGCAATTCTTTGCCATCGTGCTTCTATAATATTATCGGTACAAGAAGTGCTTTCGTTAAGCAGGTGGGTAAGTTGAGTGGAGTAGGCCTCGGCTATCGGTTGTGTTTGCAGCTTTTCCACGTCACGAGTACGAACCGTGGCTGCTACAAGGTAGTGATCCGAATCGATATTCGGACCACTACCGTAACACACTGTACGAATGCCTTATGTCTATTTCTCGTTGTTCGATCGGGATAAATCCAGGTGTCCTTGTGTATATCGAGATGCTTGAATCTGCTAACTATCATGTTTTTGCTGCCTCGAAGTCAATCAACCTCATGCCGTTGTCGGATGTTTCTTCAAGGAGGCTGAATTTTCCGACGGTGGGGCCAAAAAATACTTTCACTTCTGATTTCTGCATTAAAATCTCCTCATGACCAGGGCAGCGCAGTTTCTAGGCGCTCGTAAAATATGTCTTTGGTGTGTTCATTTTTGTCTTCGATCTAAGCATGGGCTCAAATTAGACTGACGTAGAAGAACTTTGCTTTTATACGGATTGTAGCAATTCATCTGATTTCCTTACGCCAGTCCCTTTCCATCGCATTTCCTGTTGGGCAATAATATCGGCTCTTTTACTTCATGAGTACATCCGGCAAAGCGAAAACTGGGCCTATTCTGTACAAAGTGCTCACATCCAAAGTGCAGATTCGCAGATCGTGGTCCTTTATACGTTTGCGGGGTCGTTAACATTAGGGGTCGTTGCTTTTTCATAGTATCTGGATTGTGGTCAACTAACGGTTGTACGATTTGTCATATTATCCATGCATCTTTGTGTCTGGGACTTTTTCTTTTGAGATTATGAATCAGCTTAATCTTCTATATATATATATATATATGTATTCTAGATACTCTCAAATCACGCCTTTAATTAACTGGAGGTGTATATGGTGGCCACAAACCGGAAGGGAATTCCCAACTCTACTAACGGATGTACCATTCACTAATCTTTGTAATCTATAAGCGATTCACTTCGATTATGAAATTCTGAAGTCATTCTGATGACGTTACCAAGCCTCTCACACGACCACAGCCAATGTGGTGGCTGTTATTGCCGGTAGAAAACAATTGAGATGGTGTGGGTGTGTCTGTGTGAAGTACATACCCCCTTATAGTTATAATTCTTATTATCGAAGGTTAGTTTTCATACGAGAATTAGATTTTTTTTCTGAGATGATGAATCGGATGACTCTTTTTAATCTTAACGGGGGTGATATTTTCATTTAATATAGCTAATAAATATTCGAGGGTGTAATTGGGAGTGTGTCATAATTAAAATTCTAAATTTAACCTCCACCACACAACAGTACAACCCGATTTTACCAATTTTTACGCATTTTATAAATATCCGTCACTCATTTGCGTATAATCAGGAGAGAATGATTCATTGTATTAAAAGTGTTATAATTTAATTACAGTCTAATATTTCTGAGAAGAAAATTATGAAATTTATCACGGAATGATTAACGATCGGATTGATATAGAAATTGTAGCTTTTCAAATAAGAAAATATTATGTGTGGGTAATTTTTTCATTTGATCCCATTGAGTCAATATATTTTTGGTATAAAATATTATCACAAACAATTTGTACTTAAGTATTAAAATTAAATTAATAAATATTAATAGCAAGTAAATAATACACATAAATAAAAAAAAATAAATATTGAATAATATCACAGTCTTAAAAATAAGTTAGTTCCCGGATCTATCCCTCCCTCTTGACAATTTATTGCCTCCAATGCGCCAATATCCATGGCAAATGCCGTTGAACATCAACACTAACACTGGGCCAACCCTTCAGACCACACTCCTTTTTGCCATAGGACATAACACCGATCACAAAATATTTCTTTTCGCGGTGACCCGCATGCATTGAATGCATTAGGGCGCCACCCGAATCACCCAAACATGTATCGACACCCTCCACTCCGCCGGCACATAAATCATAATCCACATTGACGTCATAAAATGTTGTTCGATATTTTTGACGACACACCTTTGTGTCCCATATCTTCAGATGCATTTTAAACTGGGTTGTGCTTTTGATTCCCTCAAATTGACTATCCGCACCCCAACTGGCAAATTCTGCTAAGGTATTGATCAGTTTCTCAGATTTTAGATGTTTGTCAAATGGTAAACATATTGGTCGTATAAATTGTGAAAATTCCACATAACTTTCAAGGCGGATCAGTGCTATATCATGATGTAAATTTTCAGGATATTTGGGATGAATAAAGATTTTATCAATTTCCAGTGAGTGAAAAGTGGTAGGACAATTTGCTGCAGGTTGGTCCGAACATTCGATGATATTATTTTGTTCCGAATGTCCCAACCAAATACGTTTTGCTGTCCATTTCTTATTGGTGACACAATGAGCTGCTGTCAGGATGTAATTGGAATTGATTAAACTGCCACTGCATATATATTCGTGTCTGCGGGGATCTGCAAGGAAACAAGTGGGAAGGCCGATATTTAATATAAGTTGGAAAAAATGGGTTCGAGGTACTGAGATCGGATGTTGGTCGCCAAAAAAGCGTTGTGTTATTTATTTTTTTAAATATTTAATATAACATAAGCCGCTATTTTGCATATCGAGAGATATTAAACAAAAAACTTGGATCCTTCTTAATACTTGTAACCCATTGAAAAAATGCATAACTAATAATCGACCCATATTTACCTTCTTTGAACTCATATTCGATCAATGCCATCCATGGATATTCTCCACCATTTATAGGGATCTTCGCATCGATGGGTTTACTTCCAGCACTCAAATGCGACGCCGTATTCTTAACCACTCCACACTGTTCAGTGTTTTGGGGACAACAAACCAAAACCCTATTTTCACGATCCTCTATTCTGTCATCGTAACCGCATTGAGAATTTCGTATAAATGCTTGTTCTTCTTTGGTTAATTGTTTGAAACTTTGAAATTGTTCATAGAGTATTGGACACATTTTGATTGGCACACAACTGCCACTGTGGGTGGCAACCGAACATTGCAAAGGTTTGTCACCTTTAACAACAACAACACCCACTAATGAGATAAATACGATTATGTATAGCTGGATTTTGGAATGCATTCGCATTTTGCTAACCACTTTAACTATTTTTCGAATTTCCGTTTATTTTCCGTAACTTTTTACACTTTTATTTCAGTTATCTATCTATTGTGTACTATTCCGATTTGCCGATTTGAATTTCCGTTTCGATTTTTATATAATACTATATATCCGATATTGTGTTGTTAATTGTTTTACTCTACGAATGAAATGAATACAATGCAGTAGCATCTCTTTGGTTTTATACCAACAAAACCCAATACTCGACCATATTCTAATAAAAGATCGGTATTATTCATGGCATTTGGCTAGTAACTGCAATACGTACGACATTACATCGAGTTATCTATTTGAGTTGAAAACGAACCTCAAGAGCGGGGGGAATTTATGCAGAAAAACCACACTTATTGTAGCATATAATGAAATTGAAAAACCGGCAATGGTGCGAACATCGATTGAAATGAAAACGACTCCAAGTAAGGAATTTCCTGTAGAGCAGGATTGTTTGCTTTGATTATCATTGAGGAATCCTCAATCAGGTTTATCATTAATAGAAATCGGGTTATGACAAAAAAGTGATTCACTTTTGATTTCACTTCATAGCCATATACCCAACATGACCATCATCTTCATTTATGATCCTTTGGAACAGATCTGACTGTACAAGGTTTGAGCCCAATGCGCCGCCTTGTTTGGTCGAACAAGTAACTCTTGAAACAAAACCTTTTCAAGCAAACAGTTTGAAACCAGTGAGCGGAGCAGTATAGTCGGACGGGGCCGACAATATGATACCCTACACCGCCTCTAAATATTAACCTATCTTTACCAAAAACAATAGGGGTCTTCATTGGCCAGAACCCATCCTACATGCAAAATTTCGTGAAGATTGGTCCATAACTGTGTCCTGTATCGTGTTTACAAATTATAATGGACAGACGGACGGATACACACGTCTATATCGACTCAGCTAGTCGAGATATGACGATCGGTATACTTGCGGCCTCTGAAGCGACTAGAAAACGGTCAAAAATGTAGTATTTGGTCCATTTCATCCCCATAAATATTAACCTATCTGTAGCAAAGACAATAGGGGTCTTCACTGGCCAGAACCCACCCTACATGCAAAATTTCGTGAAGATTGGTCCATAACTGTGGCCTGTATCGTGTTTACAAATTATAATGGACAGACGGACGGACGGACACACATGTCTATATCGACTCAGCTAGTCGAGATATGACGATCGGTATACTTAAAGGTGGGTCTAGGACCAATATTTCGCGGCGTGATCGAATACTCGTATTCAGATATTATTTAGTAACCCATTACTAATAACGCTGATCGATTTGAAATTGTCCATGCTATTTTTCGAATCGTTGTATAGGCCACAGTTATAAGTCGATCATCACCATACAACCCACGCTCAATTAATAAGAAGGGCTGTACTGAATATTAGTGCGGTTGACCTCTAATCGGGCAAGAGGGTGCAAATATCACGAAATATTTCCCAGGCTCGGAATAAACTTACTTAGAAAGTTAGAACTCCGTCGTAGTTGTGTAGGGTATCGTATGATCGTTATAATTTTGTCAAATTTGGACTTAAAACAATTTAATGGGGGGAATTTACGAAAATGTTCTTTTTCTACCAAAACTATATCATCATGCCTTCTTGAAAATAAGGAAAATATTCAGGTGTTTACACAATTTCGGATACTTAAAACTTGTCTTTTAAATAAATAATTTTAATTTTTATGGTAAACGGAAATATAAGTTTAATATACGATAATTACCTATTAACTCTTAGATCTGCTTTAAAAAAAAACTCAAAATTTCCTAAACAAATATTTGAAGATAAAGTGGTTAATATTTTCTCTCTGCACACCCCTACAGTGTAGGGTAGTAACGCTAAATTTTACATTAATCGAACTAGAGAATATTTATTCTTACACCACGAGGACAGCTACCGAACTTGTCGATCATGTCATCGAATATTTATACTATCGAACTTTTGAAACAATTCATTCTAAGACCATATTAAAAGCTTTATCTTTGACAAATTCCGCAGCTATTTATAAATATTTCAGATACCGGAAAACGGGACGAACAACAGCAAAAGGACAATGAAGAAACATTTAATTTAAAAACCAAGCCTATGGTAATATTTTTCGACTCGGCAGGAATACTGTTCCAAAATTGTACAGCAACTCGTAAAGAATTTGGTCTAAACAACGATCTTTGGAAAATCGCCTCAGTGAGATTTTGCATGGTAATAACTGATCGGCTGATTATCAACGGCCGTTATAGAATATTTTCCAGGAAATCAAAACAACAAATTGGAAACCCGTATTGAGAAGAGGTGCAGTAACCGTATAAAATCAGTTTTTCGAAAGAGAGAGAGTATTAAATAACCACCACAGTACCATATATCAAACTCTAATTCATTGTAAAATGTGATAACATGTCCTCAGCAAGTCTTTTTGGAAAAACTCGGGAATTCTTCTTTTGTGGCAGCTGTTTTCCTACGTGGCTTTAAAGCATGCCATTCGATAACGATTGTGGTTAAAAATCAGATGTAGTAACAGAGATGAGGTACCGGATATGAAGCGCGCGGTTGTCTTGAATAATTGAATTAATAATCATCTTTGTTATTGTTTTAATAAATTGATAAAGAATAAGAAGCTATTCTGAATAATTTATGCGATATCTCTCGAGTGGACCTTCTCATATTTGTCAAAGAAATCTCCTTTTGCAGGAGGAAATGGCATGGCGTGGTCCCTGATACTATACTCTAAGAACACCAGTTCTACATGTTTTTGTACACAATTATATTAAAATATCTATTTCTATATATATATATTTATTATCCACTTTTGTATTTGAATTCAGTTAAACTTTGCACAAAAAAAAAAAATATAAAACAATGAGCGGAGTAGTATAGTCGGACGGAGCGGACCATATGATATACTACACAACTACCACGGAACTCTAACTTTCTGCGAATGTTTATTCAGAGCCTGGGTAATATGGCGTGATTGCCCGATTAGAGGTCAACAGCACCTCTTCCTTACACTGACATATTTTCCGAATATTATTAATATTCAGTACAGCCCTTCTAATTACTTGTCCAGATTCCCTTTACGTGAGTTGTGTTGTTCGGCTTAAAATTGTCGACTCGAAAAAACACAAGAAAATTAAGTTTTCGGTCCATTTCATCCCAACATTATTATTGGCGTTGTCCTTGACCACAACTGGAACTTCATAGAAAATTGCAAAGCGATTAGCGTTAAATTTTGCGCCCTGTAGCGTGGTAATGGTTACTAAATAATACATGAATACGTAGACACCCGTAAATATTATATTTAAGTGTATCTCCCACATACAGCTATATAATTGGTATCAATTACTTACTTACTTACTTAGCTGGCTTGTTACAGAACGGTTGTTCCATAAGCCGACCTTAAAAAAGATTTCCAAGCGCGCCGGTCTTGTGCGCAAGTCCACCAATTTGGAAGACCACGTTCCAAGATGTTGTTTTCTACTTGGTCTTTCCATCTAATTCGTGGCCTTCCCCTTCTACGAGAACCATCCGTAGGCTCATTTTTATATGCCTTTTGAGCTGGGGCTTCTTCATTCATCCGCACAACATGGCCTAGCCACCGTAGTCGCTGCAGCTCAATACGACTGACTATGTCGATGTCTGCGTATAAATTGTAGAGCTCGTGGTTCATTCGACGCCGATATTCACCGTCGACGCAGATCGGCCCGTAGATCTTTCGGAGAATTTTTCTCTCAAACACCCCAAGCGCTGCCTCATCTGCTTGCGCAAGTACCCATGCTTCTGATCCATATAATAGCACGGGTAGTATCAGCGTCTTGTAAAGTGTGAGTTTGGTCTGGCGAGAGGTGGCCTTGTTTCTAAACTGCTTACTTAGACCATAGTAGCATCTGTTGGCCATCACAACCCTTCTCCGAATTTCAAAACTGATATCATTCGTTTTATTTATGGCGGTACCAAGGTATATAAAGTCTTTAACTACCTCGAAGCTGTAGTTCTCAAGTTCCACAGTTGGTCCGAGTCTACTGGACGTCTTGCGCGTTGATACCATCAGCTTGGTCTTCTCGCCGTTTACTGCCAGACCCACTTTGGCAGACTCCTTTTCAATTTGTTCAAAGGTGGCTGTTACCGCTCGCAATGTTCGACCCATTATATCGATGTCATCGGCGTAGGCGAGTAACTGGTGTTGTTTGGTGTACAGAGTGCCATTTCTGTTCACCTTTGCGTTTCGTATGACCTTTTCCAGTAGGATGTTAAAAAGATCACACGACAAACTGTCACCTTGTCTGAATCCTCGTTCGGTAGTGAAGGGCTCCGATAGGTCCTTTCCTACTTTAACGGCTGACCTTGTGCCACTTAAAGTTATCCTGCATAGCCGTATTAATTTTGCCGGAATGCCGAACGCAGACATGGCTTTAAACACCTCTGAACGGATAGGGCTGTCGAATGCGGCTTTATAGTCGACAAATAGGTGATATGTGTCGATGTGTTTTTCGTGGGTCTTTTCCAGGATTTGGCGCAGAGTGAAAATCTGGTCTATGGTCGATTTGCCAGGTCTGAAGCCGCATTGGTATGGTCCGATGATGTCATTGACCATTGGCTTCAATCGTTCACACAGCACACTGGATAGCACTTTATATGCGATGGGAAGGAGACTTATTCCTCTATAGTTGGCACATATCGTCTTGTCTCCTTTTTTGTGCACGGGACACAGGATGCTGAGATTCCAATCATTGGGCATGCATTCATCTAGCCAAATTGTGTTAATCAGCTGGTGCATGCTCCTGACCAGCATCTGGCCACCAGTCTTGAATAGTTCGGCTGGTAACCCATCGGCTCCGGCTGCTTTGTTGTTCTTGAGCCGATTAATTGCTTTTATGACCTCATCTTGGCTAGGTGGTATACACTCTATACCATCATCTCCTATTGGTTCTGGGGTATCTTCTTCATCGCCACTATTTGATACTAGCAGCTTTTCGAAATGCTCCTTCCAGATCCTCAACACGCTGTCTGTATCTGTCACCAGGTTTCCTTCTTCATCTCTACAGGAGGATGTGCCTGCACCAAAGCCTTCGGTTTGGTGTTTTACTCGTTGGTAAAATTTCCGGACTTCATTCTGACTCCTGTACATCTCGATTTGCTCACGCTCACGTTTTTCTTGTTCTTTCTTCTTTTTTCTGAAAACACGTTTCTCCTCTCTCCTTTTCTCCCGATAATTCTCCATCACGTTACGTGTTGCTACTGCCTGCAGGGTTGCCCTATACGCTGCGTTTTTCACATCAGTAGCAATACGACACTCCTGATCGTACCATGGGTTTCTTGGTGGTGGTTTTTGGTACCCAATTGTTCTTTTTGCTGCAGTTTGTAGGGAGTGGGCAATTCTTTGCCATTGTGCTTCTATACTATTATCGGGACAAGAAGTGCTTTCTTCAAGCAGATGGGTAAGTTGAGCGGAGTAGGCCTCGGCTACCTGTTGTGTTTGCAGCTTTTCGACGTCGAGTTTCCGTGTTGTATTAGATCGCACCTTTGCTGCAACATTTAGACGGGTGCGTACCTTGGCTGCCACAAGGTAATGGTCCGAATCGATATTCGCTCCTCGGATCGATCGGACGTCTAAAACACTGGATGCATGCCTTCCGTCTATCACAACATGATCAATTTGATTTCTCGTTACTTGATCAGGAGAAATCCAGGTGGCCTTGTGTATATCGAGATGCTTGAATCTGGTGCTGCTAACTACCATGTTTTTTGCTGCCGCGAAGTCAATCAACCTCATGCCGTTATCGGATGTTTCTTCATGAAGGCTGAATTTTCCGACGGTGGGGCCAAAGATATTTTCCCTTCCGATTTTTGCATTAAAATCTCCTAGCAGAATTTTAATGTCATGGCCAGGGCAACGGTCATATGCTGTTTCTAGGCGCTCATAAAATATATCTTTGGTCTGTTCATCTTTATCTTCGGTCGGAGCATGGGCGCAAATTAGACTGATGTAAAAGAACTTCGCTTTTATACGGATTATAGCAATTCGCTCATCTACTGGAGTGAATCTGGAGACAAGGTCTTTTATTCTCCTGTTAACCATAAATCCGCAGCCAAATTCATGTCTCGTTTCATGGCAGCTATAATACAGGGCGTAATCGTCTGATTTACTTACGCCTGTCCCTTTCCATCGCATTTCCTGTAAGGCAATAATATCGGCTTTGTACTTCTTGAGTATATCCGCCAAAGCGAACACTGCCCCTGTTCTGTATAGCGTGCGCACATTCCAAGTGCAGATTCGCAGATCGTGGTCCTTTATACGTTTGCGGGGGTCGTCAACATTAGGGGGGTTTGGTTTTCTTTTTCTTTGCTTTTTCATAGTAGGTTGGGTTTTCCGAGAGTGGGCAACTAACCCGACGCCTCAACCCATTTTTTATAGTTCTTATGGGTGAACTCGCGGCACATATTAGCTCACTATTTCATCGGGCGATGAGAATAGCTCCCCAGGTGGCACCGCGGGGAGGTCAGTGTCCACAATTGAGATGAAAGAGGGACCAAGATAAGCCTGGGCTTCGCCATGTTAAAGCTAATCAGAGCCGTTGCTTGGTATCAATTGGAAGGTCAAAAAACCACAGCCGCCTGTGGAATGAAATTTATTTTATAATATAACGCAGATTGATGATCGTGAAGAAGCAGGCAATGGGGAATTTATAAATATGTTTATTTTGAGCAAAAAGGATAAAACACACAGAAATACTTATCATTAGTCGTCAATCATTCCATTTATTCCTTACATCTCTTAGGTGCATGCCATTCATTGTGGAATGTGGTTAAAAATCGAAAGTAGTCACTCGGCTGAGTTACCGGATATGAAGAGCACGTTTTTGGCTTGAATAATTGAATGAATACTTATCATTGTTATTGTTTATAAATTTATAAGGGTGTGAATATACCATAGTGATGCCACTGATCGAGTGACTCGAATTTCCAAAACTAACCTAAATACCCAACTAAACCTAAATACCCCAATCCTACACCCCGACAGTGATTCTAAAATCAAGCTTCAGGAATCCCAGTACATAGGTTCACCCACAATTCAAATTGCACCAAATTTTGTACACAGTAGTACGAACTTCCAAAACTTCTTCCATACCCCAATCCTTCACCCCGACAGTGATTCTAAATCCTTGAGGATTCCAACTCCATAGGTTCACCCACAATTCAAATTGTACCAAATTTAGTACACAGTAGTACTTATTTCCAAAACCTCCTTCCTACCCCAAACCTACACTCCCACAGTGATCCTAAATCCAAGTTTCAGGATACCGACTCTATTGGTTCACCCACAATTTAAATTGTACCAAATTTAGTACACAGTAGTACGAATTTCCATAACTTCCTACATACCCCAATCCTACACCCGACAGAGATTCTAAATCTCAGGTTCTAGATTTCAACTTCATCACCTCCACAGTGATCCTGACTCCAAATTTCATGATTCTAGCTCTATTGGTTCACCTAAAATTTAAATTGTACCAAATTTAGTCCCATTTAGTACCCATAAGTATTAATTTGTTAAACTGAATCCTGACCCAAATCCTACATCCCTACAAAATGATCCTAACTCCAAATGTCATTGTTCCAGCTCTATCGGGTCACCCAAACCCAAATTGTACCAAATATAGTACGATTTAGTACTTTTCGTACACATAAGTAAAAAAATTCCAAAACTACGTACATTTCAGTAATGTTACTTTCAATTTTCAGGATTCCAGCTCGATTTGTACCTCCAAATCAAATTTGTTATAGTACCATATAGTACTTTTCGTACAAAAGCTTTCCTCTCCTCATATCGATCATACTTCTCAACCTTAATTTGCATTCCGAATTTCAAGTTTTTAGCTCAATACATTCACATGCTACGAAATTGTACCAAATTTAGTACATTTCAGTACTTTTCGGATACTTATAGTTTGAATTTCCAAAAAGCCCTTTTCTACATCTATTCTACACTCCATCAGTGACCCAAATTTCAGAGTTCTAGCTAGACTGGTTCGCCAAATACAAATGATACCATATTTAGTACTTTTCGTACCGTTCTAGTACGAATTTCTAAAAACCCAGCCTTATATGACACCTTTGGACCAAGAGTAACCCTCACCTAAAATTTCAAGATTCTAGTGTGTTGATGATCGAAAACTCGTAAATGTTTTTCAGCGTCTTCGACCAAAAAAGGTGGCGCTTTGGGCTCAATCCTTGAAAAGGATCATAACTGATGACGATGATCATGTTGGATATATGGCTATAAAGTGAAACAATTATTCATTATAACCCGGTTTCCGGCTGAGAAACCTGATTGAGGATTCCTCAAAACCTTTCCAAACGAGAAGTCCTGATATTCAGGAAATTCCTTACTTCGAGTCTTTTTGATTTCAATTGATGTTCGCGCCATATTGTAATTCCGTTGCCCGTTTTCAATTTCATTATATGCTACAATAAGTGTGGTTTTTCTACATAAATTCCCCGCTTCTTGAGGTTCGTTTTCAACTCAAATATATAACTCGATGTAATGCCGTAGGTACTGCAGTTACCGGCAAAATGCCATGAATAATACCGATCTTTTATTAGAATATGGTCGAGTATTGAGTTTTGTTGGTATAAAACCAAAGATATGCTACTGCATTGTATTCATTCCAATCATAGAGTAAAACAATTAACAACACAATATCGGATATATAGAATTATAAAAAATCGAAACGGAAATACAAATCTGCAAATCGGAATAGTACACAATAACTGAAATAAAAGTGAAAAGAATTAAAGAAAATAAACGGAAATTCGAAAAATAGTTAAGGTGGTTACCAAAATTCGAATGCAGTCACAAACCCGGTTACTAAACACAATCGTATTTATTTTTTTACTGTGTGTTGTTGTTGTTACTAAAGGTGACAACTATTTGCAATGTTCGGTTGCCACCCACAGTGGCAGTTGTGTACCAATCAAAATGTGCCCAATACTCTATGAACAATTTCAAATTTTCAAAAAATTAACCAAAGAAGAACAAGCATTGATACGGAATTCTCAATGCGGTTACGATGCGAGAATAGAGGATCGTGAAAATAGGGTTTTGGTTTGTTGTCCCCAAAACACTGAACAGTGTGGAGTGGTTAAGAATACGGCGTCGCATTTGAGTGCTGGAAGTAAACCCATCGATGCGAAGATACCTATAAATGATGGAGAATATCCATGGATGACATTGATCGAATATGAGTACAAAGAAGGTAAATATGAGTGTGTGTGTGTGATATTTGTATTGCATCAATGGAAGGGGGGTTATGCGAATGACATGGCAACCCTAATTCTACGCATCTTGCGAACTCTAATCAAGAAATAATTCTGTCATGGACTATGGATACCCAGGAAAATCAGCTGATATTAGTTGCAAGATCTTTTAACAAGGTCAGCCAGTAAGCGAAAGTCAGCTATTTTTTCTCAAGTCGAATGTCAAAAATGTTTACTTTGTTTACGTTTTCATTATGTAAGTCAATGCACAATAATGGATTTTGACAGCAAATTTCAGAAACAGTTGGTATCCAGCTGATCTCCCTGAATAACCTTATTAATATGCCTCGATACGTACCCTGTAGGAAATGGCTACAGTAAATCAGTACTGACTTGTCACCAATACTGTGGACTGACTATACCCAACACACTGCATTTTACTATTGACATTTAACATGTGCTTCTCACTGAAAATGAACTAGTGACACAATTTTTGCGGTTAGCAACCCATTTTATTAACTCGACCCTGTGTCATACCAATTTATATTAAATATCACCCTTCCCACTTGTTTCCTTGCAGATCCCAGCAAACACGAATATCTATGCAGTGGCAGTTTAATCAATTCCAATTACATCCTGACAGCAGCTCATTGTGTCACCAATAAGAAATGGACAGCCAAACGTATTTGGTTGGGACATTCAGATCAAAATAATGCCATCGAATGTTTAACCCAACCAGGTGGTAATTACCCCACAACATTTCAATCGCTGGAAATCGATAAAATCTTTATTCATCCCAAATATCCTGAAAATTTACATCATGATATAGCACTGATACGCCTTGAAAGTTATGTGGAATTTTCGCAATTTATACGACCAATATGTATACCCTTTGATAATCATCTTAAATCTGAGAAACTGACAAATACCTTAGCGGAATTTGGCAGTTGGGGTGTGGGTAGTCAATTTGAGGGAATCAAAAGCACAACCCAAGTTATGTGGAATTTTCGCAATTTATACGACCAATATGTATACCCTTTGATAATCATCTTAAATCTGAGAAACTGACAAATACCTTAGCGGAATTTGGCAGTTGGGGTGTGGGTAGTCAATTTGAGGGAATCAAAAGCACAACCCAGTTCAAAATGCCTCTGAAGATATGGGACACGATGGTGTGCCGTCAAAAATATCGAACAACATTTTATGATGTCAATGTGAATTATGATTTGTGTGCTGGCGGTGTGGAGGGTGTCGATACGTGTTTGGGTGATTCGGGTGGCGCCCTAATGCATTCAATGCATGCGGGTCACCGCGAAAAGAAATATTTTGTGATCGGTGTTATGTCCTATGGCAAAAAGGAGTGTGGTCTGAAGGGTTGGCCCAGTGTTAGTGTTGATGTTCAACGACATTTGCCATGGATATTGGCGCATTGGAGGCAATAAATTGTCAAGGGAGGGAGAAAGTGTGGCAAAGCCGGGAAATAACTTATATTTTAGACTGTGATATTATACATTTATTTTTTGTGTATAATTTATTTGTTATTAATATTAATTTATTTAATTCTAATACTTAAGTACAAATTTTTTGTGATACTATTTTTTACCAAATATATTGCCCTAAAAAGGATTCAAATAAAAACACACGCACATTTTATTTTCTTCAGCATTAAACAGCAAAGATTTCTAAATCAATCCGATCATTATTCATTCCGTGAGAAAGTGCCTAATTTACTCCTTATAAATATTATCATTTAATTAAATTAAGTCGCTCTTAATACAATTAATCATTTTGGCATCCAACTCTCCTAATTATACGACAAGTACATAAATCTTTAAAAACTGTGTAATTTATTGCAGTCGATTAAAGGATAATATGGGAGTCCCTTTAAAATATCTGCTGCACTGTTTTTGGGGGGGCTAACATCAAAATTATATAGACACACACACTCGAAATATAATTCATATGTGTTAGTTGAATTAAAAGAAAATATCATTTCCTATTTTTCAAATAAGAGTCATCCGATTCATAATTTCAAAGAAAAAATCAGCAACCATTTTTAATTCTATTGTGAAAACTAACCTTCGATAATGAGAATTATATTTATAAGGGGGTATGTACTTCACACCGACATACCCACAGCATCTCAATTGTTTTCTACCGGCAATATCAGCGAATGTGGTGATCATGTGGTCGTATGATAAGCTTGGTTATGGAATTACAAAGCCATTGAGGAGATGCTTTGGCTTTGTAATTTCATAATCGAAGTGAATCGGTTATAATTAATATAACACAATAATGAATGAAGAATATGCCATGTGGTACATGCGTTAAATCAGTTGGGAGTTCCAATATATATATAATCATTATAAAATACATAATCTATTACAGTCCATTCGAACTTGAGATGGGAAGAAGCCTTTTCAAAATACCTAAAATAGGGCTGTATTGTTGTGTGGAGGCTAAAGTGAGAATTCAATAGACAAACGCCCAATATATCATTTAGAAATTTATTATTCTTAATAAATGGAAATATATGTTCCTATTACATAAAAAGAGTAAACAGGTTTATTATCTCAAAAAAATCTTTGTGACAATTAGGTACTTCTCACATACACACCCACTCCAGCTCAGTGGTTTTCTAACGGCAATATCAGACAATTTCATAAGTTGGAGGTGATTCGGTTATAAATAATGATGATTGAAGAATATGACAAATGATACTTCCGTTCATTGTGTTGGCAGTTCACTTCCGATTCTAAAGCAAGTCTTTTTTGAAGAACATTTTTTTAACCGCAAAGTGTTAATTCCTTTAAACGTCAATTGTCATACCCTGCATTATCGAGTCTGTCACCTCAAAATATTCAGAATAAAATTGTATACATATTTTTTGCCGTCTGTCTGCCGAAATCACGATAGTGGTCCTAATATTTTAGATAAAGTCTTGAAATATTGCATATATGTATGTACATGTATTGCTACTTCTCATAGGATATTTGTATTGGAAATGGGTTCTCCCAATATTTGGTATTTTGTATTCTCATTAGGTGTCAAATCTTGGTACCAAAAATTATAAATATCAGTTCATAATTGATTGTAGCCCTCATGTATAGGTCCTACCTCTCTTTAGGTATTTTGATGGTATGAAAAATGGTCCGTTACCCCCCAATATTCTGTATTTAATGTGCTCACAGGAGTCAAATCTTTCTACAAAAAAAAAAAAAAAAAAAAAAAACAAACAAAAAATGTCAATCTTTGGGCGCATTCCTCATATAAAGATCCAGTTCCTTTATTGGTATTTTTATGGTCGTAGGAGCATCTTCCAACCGATATATCTTATATATCTTAGCATTACAAAGTGCCCAATTTTCCAATCTGAACATCTGCAGTTTGGTATTTCGTTTTCTCATGTCAGTAATATTTCATAGGAAGATATAAAATGTTTGACCCGATAGAATATATATATATATATATATATATGGATTTCGCATGTCAAGACCTGATTTTGGACAACATATACAGTCCAAACTATTTAAATCGTTTCGTATTCGAATCGCTAATTGGGCTTTCATTTTTCCGAAAGAATGTACTGTATCTCCCGAATCTAAGGATGCAGCGATGCCAAATTTTCAAGAACTACCAGAATATTGTTTTTTTAAACCTATATTTCTTTAACGGCTGAAAATTTCAATATTTTTGATCGAAATGAAATATTCACTATTTCATGCGCTCAAACCAATTGTCGTAGCTTTTTCTTCACTTCGATGGAGACACCTCTAAAACATGGATTCTGAACTTTTCAACAACATCTTGTGGCGACGATATTTTTGGGCCACGCACTGTTTTTCTTGATGTCCAGGATTAAATAAGTCGTTAAGCGCCAAACCAGGGTTGTACGGCGGATAACACATCAGTACCATATTCTGGCCGATGTATGAGTAGCTCGCATTGGCATGGTGTATAATAATTCGTTATCTCTAGATCGTTTTTTAAATTTCTTCTCTAGGCAAACAAATTGTGGTGTAACTAAGTTCAACACTATTCAAGCGGAACAATCGCAACATGACTACGTTTGCCGAAGAATAAGGCTACCATTTTCTTCCAAGTGCTATTTCGACAACTAGCTTTTGTTAAAGTAAGTTCGGCTTGAATGATTCACGCCATCGATTTTTGGTTAAATTTCATTGAAGTTTTGATATTTGATTTTATTCGAGTTAAAATAAATGATGCACTAAAGACGCACCCGTCTGTCGGTATGTCGGAAATAAAGACACACACAGACGTGATGTTTGCCGCCGTGATATATTATATTGTCACTTATTTTAATTGCAATTATAGAAAGTTTTTGAAATCGCAAATATATGCCTTTTTTATTTTATGCCTTTTTAGGGCGAAGGATCATTCATGTAAATGTTTTTTTATTAATTTCTCTTTGGAGATGAACTACATGAAAAAATCTGCTCTGAATAGGAATGCTTTGGTGTGATGCCAAATGCCCGAACATTGACACGGTTGAATTTAATTCGTAGATGCAATTTCGCAACAATAGTCGACATAAATACAACTTATCAAGTAAAGACATTTGTAAGCCACATTGCCCAATATGCCTGATGAGCCGCTTAACCAACGGCGAAACACGTCGCATAGTGGTGGGAATGTAGTATCTCTCTGGCTTTCCTTTTCATTGCAACTCCGATCATGTAACTCATCTCGAAAGAGAAATTAATAAAATATTGTATGCCATACACAATTCAATTTTAGTGATGATGAAATCCAAAACTAGAGAATATAAACAATTTATCGGTCCTATGGGAAAATGGGTCCTATATATATATATGGGTCACTCTAATATATGTATCGAAAATTATCTGAAATTTCCAAAACTACATCCCTGCCTCAATTCTACACTCCAACAATAATGTTAATTCCAAATTTCAGGACTCCAGCTATATCGTATCTCCCAAATTAATGTTGTAACAAATTTAATACCATTTAGTACGCATTAGTACGTATTTCCAAAACTACCTACATCACACACTCCAATAGAAATCTTATATCCTAATTTCAGGATTCCAACCCTGCCGGATCACCTAAATCCGAATTGTCTTAAATTTAGTACAATTTAGTACATATTATTACGAATTTCCAAAATTCCTACGTACCCCAATCTTACACCCCAATAGTCTAACTCCAATTTTCAGGCTCTATCGGTAAAACCAAAATTCAAATTGTATCAAATTTTAGTACCATTCGGTACATATAAGTACAAATTTCCAAAACTACCCATATACCTCAATTCTAGTTTCAAATTTCAGTGTTTCCGTTCAGTCAAATCCAAATTTTACCAAATATAGCATAATTTAGTACTTTTCGTACATATAAGTACAAATTTCCAGAACTACCTAAAATTTTAGTACATTTGGGATACGTTCAGTTTGAATTTCAAAAAAGTCTTTTTACATTTTTCCTACATTCCAAATTTAAATGTTCCATATCTACCGGTTCGCCAAATACAAATGGTACCACATCTAGTACTTTTCGTACCGTTCTAATAGGAAGTTATGTATCGATCGTAGTATTCTTTTTTATATTATATTTATTTCTAAGACCTCATCTGATGCACCTCATTTCATAAATCTTATATAAATCTAAATAGGGCAAGGATCAAAGAAAGATTTTATTGCGTGAGGGGGTCTATACTCCATATATTTGTCACTCGAAACCGTCGAATATGAATGACGATAACATTTTGTTTTCTCTTTTTAATAACAATTACAAATCTGCGGTGTATATCTCTGTTCCTAGTCTTTGCCATGCGGTTAAAAATCGGAAGTTGACATTCAAATGAGCCACCGGAAATAAACCGCATTTATGGTTGGATCGACTGAATTAATATAATGAGTGTTAGCATTGTTTATATATGTTGCACTACATCATGATCATGGGAATCCTTTTCCGATATATAATTTTCCGGGGAAATAATGGAAACGATGTGTGAGACGTTTTTCTTTTCTTAGAAGAAAAGGAAATATATTATTATATTCATTTTGAAATTAATGAATGACATTCATTCATGGAGGAACTAGGGATAAGTAAATCGACTTTCGACTAATCGATTAATCGAATTCGACTTTTGATCTATGAGAATATCGTAAAGTCGGCTTTCGATTTTCTTCATAAATACTTGGTTTATTATCACAAAGCCCAAATTGCCCAAAAATTACTCTTTTCAGAAGTTTACTTTATCTTTCATTAATTGTTTCATATAAAAAATCAAATTTTTAATCAATTTTGCACAAGTCAGTAAAAGTCGAAAATCGACAAAATCGAAAGATCGAAAAGTCGACTTTTACGATCGACTACGCATCCCTAGGAGGAACTTCACTTTTCACTTTTGTGACGTGTACATTCGAACCATGTTCGTCAAATTAATCATAATAAGATC